ACCATGTGTTTGTGGGATATGCAGCTTTCTGGGTGGGCATCTTTCCTTTTCCTGTTCCTTGTCCAACATTGCTTGTTCAAGGTTTTGTGGGTCAGGGATCAGCTGGGATAGAGGAGCATAAACTGGATGTCTGTCCTCTAGGATCATCTCAAAGATGGTATTTTGGTCTGTAAATATGACCAGTGACAATATTTATGAGAGCAAGAAGATGGGTTGTAAAAAATAAACAGTATTTTGTTGTGAAATTAAGACATTTGCTGGATGAGGGAATGGGTTAAGGTACCAGATTCTAAGCACTGGATGGGCATGATTTTAAAGGTTCATGCTTCCCCCAAACAAGACATGTTCCAGTCTCCGTGGCCTGGAAGATGGATTATTAATACATCTCCTGAATAATCTTTTATTCCAGCATGAAATGTAAGTGACAGACTGTTGCTAAGCCCTGAATCAATGAAACCCTGGGCAGGGGCAGGACTCTTCTCATGGTGGGTCAGTAGGGGACAGAGCAGGCTTAGAGCTGATAGTAAAAAGCTTGATTGGACTAAATGAAGGCAGTTTCTCTGGAGCTCTCTTTGCCTCACAGCATGTAATGAAGGTCACCTGGTTCCAGTGCAGGTTCTAATTCCGTAGATCTTGAATGGGACCTGGGATCCTGAGTTTCTAGCAAGTCTTACATGGTAGGTGATGGCCATTTCTTTGATGAGCAAGACTATAGGGCTATCTATTAGGTAATTAGCTATTATTTCAAAGTGACACCAAGTCACTGATTTAATGATGCCCAAAATAAGTTGTCTTGCTCCTGAGCACCCTAAGAACTCACTTAGCCAGCACTGGCTTGAGTGTGATTTTGATGTTTCCCTCTTCCCAGGGTCATTCAAACATGAGTTCTTATTAAGTATTTATTATGCGTTAGGTAGGCTTGTGTTAGGCTAGGGTAATACTAAGACAAATAAGAAGTGGATCTTGTTCTCCAGGGGCTTCCAAGCAGAGATAGACAGGTATGCCAATAGGACAATGGGTTGTTATCAAAACAGGACATCAGCTGCACAGAGTACAATGCAATGGAATAGAAAGAAAGAGGCAGGGACCAGAGAATGAGGAATTTTGCCATTTTGGTGGAGGGGTAGGGCTCAGACCCACTTGGAGCAACATTGGAAAGCTTACACAGTCACTCTTAAATTAAGTGAAAACTGTGAAAGTGTGACTGAAAACCAAAAGGAAATAAGAGCAATCTATGAGTTTCCTGGCAGCTTACACCTTTGAACATTCACCAAATGCTCACTCAGTTATTTGTTTCTGTGTTTGTTTCAATCAGGCTTGCTTTCTGAAGGAGATTGGCACAGAGCCCAAGCACACTGCCTCCTTAAGGGAGTCACTGTTTTCCCAGGCCCAAGAAATCAAGGGCAGGGGCCATGGCACAAGGCCCCCGCCCTTCTTTTCCTTAGGGCCAGAAGTGTAGGCTGGGTGCCAGAGTGAGGACAATTGGTGTTTTACATTCGAGGAGCAGTGAGGAGGAAAATGTGAGAAAAACCAGGCAGCAATGTGAGCCTGTTGCTTGAGGTACCGGGCAGTGAGGAACAGACACAGGGCTGGGAGGAGACCCTCAACTCGAGTGTCCTGTGGGGGATGATGGTGGTAATTTTTACTTCCTTAATAGATGCAGAGCATTTTCAGCTTTGCTAATGAACAGAACAGCAGGCTTGTAATTCTGACAGCAGCAGGACATGAGTGTAGTGGGTTTAGCACTGAAAGCTAGCCAAGCGTGCCTTTGTCCTTAAGAGAAAGCACAACACCCACATTGGGTCGGGTCCACAAGGGTTCCTGCTGACTTGTTTTGTTTTTCCTTATAGGGGAAACAAGGAGTTAGGGACCTTTATTTCTGCTCGGGCCTTCTCTAGAGGTAGTGAGGGATCCACTGTTTCAGCAAGGTTGTCTGAAGGAGGTCTACCCTTGGGCTAATGTTCACAGCCTAATAATGCTATCAGATACACTCTGTGTCAGAAATAACAGTTGTGGTGAAAGCTGCCTCCTGCAAGGCAGTGTACTTATAGAACCTCTTTGTCACTTTTCTTCCACTTTGACACCTGGTCTACCCGCAGAAATTGTACTCTCCAACTGATCCTAAGAAAGAACAGGCCAGCAAGCCAGGGGAATTTTACAGTTCTAGTTTTTACAGGGCACACTGAGACTGAATGAAGAATTTGCTTCCGATACATCCAAAACATGTTGATCTACTAGTGAGAAGATCGAGAAGGTTGATAAATATGAAGAAGGAACTTTAAAAGGCTCAGGGCATTATTGCCGAGAGACACCATGGATATCATCTACCATATACTGTGTTTATATGACAGTGACGCTTTTGACCTCTCATCCACCTCACTTTAGGAAGAGCTAACTTTCATCCAGTCATTTATTCTTTCATCATATATTTATTGACCACCTACCAGGAGTCTACCAGGATGTGTACCTGATTGTGAAAACATGTTCCGATTCCATTGGTCCTGTTTGAGTTAGTGGTCGTTGAACTTACCCTTTACTATGTATTCTAACAGCTGGTTTCACAACCTCCCTGGGGGAATTGATGCATAGGCTCTTCAGCCAGTGCAAATAGAGTTTATACGCAAGGTCACCAATTTCTGAGCTCCTGGGCTAATTAGTTTAGCTCTGCTCGGCTTTACATAATACATGTATTGTTGAAAAGTTATTTGTGGCAAATGAAAAACAAATTTAGGCCACTAAGGGAACTTTTGTTTAAAAAGACCCCCCAAACAAATGCTTCTATAATGTGAAAAACCTTGTTGCTGCTGTTGGGAATGATGACTTCCTCGTAATGGATTTAGTAAATCTCGGTGCTTTGGGAGTTCTAGCACGGGGCACATAATCAGGCACACAGCCCCAAAGTAGCCTGAACTGGCTGGGGAGGCCTCTGGCCCAGGAAACGGAAGCCTGGGAAGTGGAAGAGGCCAGCTCCAGGCTGGCACTTACAGAGCCTGTGACCACTGGCTACATGGAGCACCTATTTGCCATCCTACAGCTCCTGGGCCTTGAAGTGACAAGAAAGAGATAGGGAAGGATGAGACTAGGGCCTCTCTTTCTGTAGATGAGAGTGGTTTGGACATAACATACCCAATCCTTTTACTAAGTTGCTAAGGCTGGCCTTGATAATCCTCCTGCTTTGACGTCTTGACTAGCTGGGGTAATAAGGCCTGCACCACCAGGCCTGGGTTACTTTGAAAAAGACAGGATAGAAGTTATTTTTTAGGTGGATACCGATGCAAGGAGAATTTTTGAAGACTGAGAAAAATGTATTTCACTTGTAAAAATAAGCTGTTTTGATATCAATGTCATTTCCCACAAACAGTTCATGAGTTAAAGACAGTTGAGAAACTAAAAGTGTTTCCTTTCTGTGTGAGACAGAAAGCAAAACAAAGCAAGTAGCAGGAACTATTTGTGAAATTTGTAATTATTGATGCTAATTAGTCTATTTCATGAGAGGTAATAGTTCTTTGTGTGGGAGATAAGGTTTGAACAGTACCTATCTTAGGAAACTAAAGGCAGAGCTATAATACAAGGCTATGGTCTTTGAAGTCACAGCTCACCTTCCTAGCGGTTCCTTTTTCTTCACCGCAGCTCACTGAGCCCGCAGCTATTACTACTCCTCATCATATATAGCGTGTCGACTTCTGAGGAGATGTAATTGCTGAATAAAAGGTTCGCTACACTAGGGAAACATGAAAAAAAAAAGGAAGGAAATGAAATAGACACTGGAAATTTGACTGGGGTCAGATTATGACCTCTGACCTTGAACAGTGGCATTTGGTGACACTTTTCTTTCTCTTCCTTGGTTGGTCGTGCACAAGGTGTGACATTTCCATTTCCCTGGGCCAACGGACTAATTCCTGGATTGTTGGTAAAATTCATATGATGTTGAGAGACCGAGAGATGGAAACTAGCTTGCCCTGCATGCTACTCTCCTTTGTAGATTTCAGACGTGGCCTCACGGCATGTGGACAAAGACGCTAGAACAGGATTTGAGGTCCCTGGCACTGTTGCACTGAGCTGATAGAAATGCTTGCCTTATGAGATCCATTGTGGGATGTCTTTATGGTAACACACAATGGAGTCCTCAATTACAGCTCCAAGGGTAGGAGTGTGGGTGGTTCTCTTTCAGAATTCTGTAAGGCACTGGTGTTAACTGCCAGGGTCACAGTGGGCTAGCCTGAGGTTTTGTGCACGCGTGATAGCTGGTCGCCTCTTCCCACACTCCTTATACTGGGTTGTCCTTTGCGTCCAGGATTGCAGTTTCTCTAGATGAATCTTCCTTTTCCGGTTCTAGTGAGTTCCCAGGCATCTGCTGCCAGTCCCCTAATAGTCAGAACTTGGTTAGCACCTGGAGAGCACTTTACAAGCATGCAGTAAGACTTCTAAGAACCAGACAGAGAAAGTGGACTTCCTCAGGAGACTTGTGAGGGCCGGTGGTGACATTAGGGGCGGGGGTGGCTCTGGGTCATCGTCATCAACTGCTTCCAGCTATCGGATGTTTGGTTATTTCCCCGTTTGTAAAATGAAGTCTAACAGTTTACGTGCAAGGTGTCACTTGGGGCTCTGTGAACGACTTTGATATCAGTGAACTAACTCTCCAGGTGCCTGCTGCATGCTCTCTGCGTGTTACATTCTGCTGAATACTAGAGGCGCAAACAGGCTTTTAAGACATCTTGTCATTTTCAAGTTGCTCCAGCAACCGCAGGGCTGCTGGTGCTGTCCTTGGGAAATGGAGTTTTATACTCGGTGGGGGGTGCTGGCACCACCGTCTCTTGAAAAGGGCCAAGAGAAGAGATGATGCCTCTGATCCCACCACGATGGGCACTCTCCCTGTGTTGGGCTAGGCTACAGACCTGTACAAGCCAAGATGATGGGTGTGGGAAGCCGAGGGTGGGACCTTGGGACGTAGCTGTAGGTCGCTGACATCCTTATTCCCTTTCTGTTCTGTTGTCCCACAGGATCTTTTCGGAATGATGGTTTGAAAGCTTCTGATGTCCTTCCCATCCTAAAGGAGAAAGTGGCCTTTGTGTCTGGTGAGTAGTTGCGTATACTCCTCTGTAGCAGACCTCAGGAAGAAGGGGTGTGTGTGTGTGTGTGTGTGTGTGTGTGTGTGTACGTGTGTGTACATGCACATGTGAGCGCTCGCTACCCGCTGTGAGAGAAGAGTTAGCAGTTATGTTTGGAGTGGCTGTGTCCTCCCTACAGTGACAGGCAGAGGGAAGGGGGCTCTGACCTCACCTGTATACTCTGGAGGACACTTCCACACACACGCCCCACACAGTGTGCCTGGCTCGGCCTCCCTGGCAAGGCCACTGCAGCACTTTGAGAGCTTCTGGTAAGAAGAGAGTATCTACCCGCACGTTCCCCAGCGTTTATCTTTTGTTTCTTAGTGGCTCACAAACAGGAATTTTTTTTTTTTTGGCTTCTCCTTTTCTGTTTACTTAGCAAATGGAACTCAAGTGTTTGTATTCTCAAGTTTTGTTCTTGGTTTGGTTTGTTTGGTTGTTTGTTTTGTTTCCTGCTCTGTATCCCAAATATTTATTCCTCACTTCTCTCCCGGCCTATCTCATGCACCTGGGCCTCTCTCATCATCTAATTTGGGCATCAACCGTCTGCAGCCTTCAGGCCAGCTACGGTTTAATCTAAATAGTTGACTGGAACCGTGCTATGCATGTTTGGTTAGGTAGAATGTATGTTTCCCATGATGTCACAAACTTAGTGGCCAAATTGGATTCCTTCTTGATCAGAACTTGGCAGATCCTGAGCCTGGGCTGGGTGGTGACAGTGGGAACAGTACAGAGAGAAGGCCTTCGTGCTATGCCTTATAGACAGAGCCTTTATTTCTGGATAGTTTTTCATGCCTAAATCAATGGCCATGGAGCCACAGGACAGGACTGAGCATATTTCCATAGTATAGCACTCACCCAAAGGCACTGATGTGTGACAACTTTCGTAGAGGAAAAGAAGAAGAGAAGGGGTCCTCTGTGGAAAGGGAAACCATACTTACCAGAGAGGAGAGAAGCCAGCAAGTCAGTGTGGTATGGGAAGGGAGGCAGGCATGTGCTAAGAAAGAAGCCTTTGTAAGATAGTATGCGCATTCTGCAGCAGTGGGTGAGATGGTGTTTGCTCACAGTGTTGCTGTTTGTTAAGACAACGGAGATCCAAAGGCTGCCTTGCCCTAGTCATGTCACTAAAGATGCAGAGGCATTAGTAGAACAACCTTGAAGAGGATCCTGTGGTGCAGTTCCAGCAGAGAGGCATGTATGTGACAGGCCTCAAGGCAAACTAGGATTTGGAGTGCTTGCTGAATTGTGGAAAGACCCTGTGTGGAAGTCCTGGTGGTCCCTGTGCATTGATGTGCCTCGGGCCTCCTAGCCTTGACTCCTAGTACAAGCTTACAGCCCACTTCCTTCTGTTTTATGGCCCTTGGTTAAGATGACATTCTTCCTATACCTTGGGTCCTACTGATGTTCCTGTTCATCTCATGCCAGATGTTTTTCGAGTGCCTTTCCCATACCTGCCAGCTTGAGTTTCTCCTCTCCTTCTCAAGTTAGTTTCTGCTTCCCCTCCTCCAGAGGCCCTTTTAGACTTAGCCAATAGCTTCTGACAGGCACCATCCCTTTCAGCATCCATTCAGGGGCTATGAAGACATAGCATGTTCTGACATGGGGACCCTTGTTTCATTGCTTGTGGCTTGTTTTTCCGACGAATGGTCAATTGGAATGTGAGTGGCGCTGAGCCAGGCCTGGGAAAACCCACAAGATGTAGGAGGCAGTTAGCCAGGAAGTCAGTCAGGGATGAGGCAGGTAGGAATTTCCCAGAAAGGGTAAAGGGCCTAGTGGTATGCCGCTCACTGTGTATGCCTGAATGAGCCGAGCCTGACTCATCCATGCTTGCACTGTCAGGTGCTTCGGAGCTTAGGGAACATTGCTGACCTCCCGTGCCTGAGAAGGGCACTGAGGGTGATTGGGAGATAATGACTGACTACATCTGAAAAGGAAAACAACAACAACAGCAACAAAAATTATTGCCCTATTCTGTACACACTGAGTCAGGAAACAAAACATTAAAAAGAGAGAGAGAGAGAAAGAAACCCCCAGTTAAATAATACAGAGTGGCAGTTGTATTTCATTCTGAGAGCAAAGCAAGGAGCATGGTAGGCAGAGAAATGGACCATTTGCCATGCCCACCCTCCTCTGCCAGCCTCTCCGCCTTGGCCAGGTGAAAGCATGTTGCCATGACAACAGACATCTGGAATAGTCCAGGAGAGCCCAACCACTTCTGCATGTGGGCATGTGTGTGACAGTGGCTGTGTCTGTCCCTCGGTGTGTCTCTGTTGTCCTGCCCCATCCTGCTCTGTGGCTCACAGCTGTAGGTTTCTGGCCTCCCACTCACAGCACTCAAATCCCTTCTTTCTGCTCAGCCCTCCTGCTTTGGAGCCGCTGTGTCCCTAGGATCGTCACATGCTCACACCCAGCCTTTGGCCACTTTCCGGAGATTCTTTTCTGGTTTTGGATCCCTTGCCATCATTCTTTTCACTGTTCTCAGTGATGCTTCATGCTCCTGGGGACAACCTTTTGTACTCCAGAACCCAACGTTTCAGAGTGTGTTCCTGTTGCATAAGATGATCTTTGAAAATGGGGAAGGAAGTTTGGGAGTTTCTGGATATGAAAGCCTTCCCACCCTCAACTTGGACTATCCATCAAAGCACGTTAACATTTTAAGGCTTTGTAAAAATCCTACAATAACCAACCTCATCTAGTCTTGCATGGCATTTCCAACTGCAAAATAACCTTATTCCCTTCAAAAATGTGTGTGAATCCATTAAAATCCCGCAGAGCTATTGTTATGTGAATCTAACTTTTGGTATGCTTCCTGAGATGTGCCTCCCTCCCACGCTACTTCCATCTGCTACCCTAATTGGAGCCTGGTGCCTCCTGAGAGTGTGAATCCTCCCCCTACTTTAGTCAATGAAGCATCAACGTCTCTCACTTTGGGCCTTCCTCCTTCCCCAGCCCTGCTATCCTGTCTACACGGAAGGAGAGCCATTGACATTTCTAGATTTCCCAACCCCCTCCCAGTCTCTGCATCTCTATCCTGTAACTCCTACCACCAAAGCCTTGCATGGGTAGGTAAAGGGCAAGAACGTGTTGCGTAAGTGACTGGTACTATTGAAGAAAGAGCAGGCATCTGTGATGTGTTTAATTTGTCTGTGTTTCCTCCTGCCTAATGCACAATGACCTTGGCATTGGAGCGTCATGCTTCATCTCTGCTGATCTCCTAACGTCAGTATTCGTCTCAGTTATCAGTGATGCAACTTCATGGATGCTCAGCCTCTGGACACCAGGGTCTTATCTTGTCTCTGCTGTGGCCAGCCATGATTTTGACCTCTGATGTATCAGTCCAAAGTCTTGTTCTCTCACTCTTGACACTTTCTGTTTCTCCCTCCTAGTTGACGAAGAATACGTGTCACTGGATCCCTCTTCTCTGGGATCACCTGGCAGAGCAGAACAATTCTCACCCTTGCCAGCTCTGCCCAATGTACATTCTTCACTAGCTCTATTCTCCCACAATGGAATGGGGTCCAGAGCAGATGCTCTCTCAACACCTGTCTTTGAAGCACATTTCATCCCCACTTTCATGAAATAAAAACTTTTTTTTTTTTTTATGAAATACTTTCTACTGATGATAGTTCTCTGGCTTTGTCCTCGGTAACCAAAGCCTACCTTGACCTTGAAAGGTGGCTTTGCTCTCTTATTTTGCTCTGGAGACAGGCTTAGCTTCTCCAGGACTTTATTTTCTTCTCCCTCCTGGGTTCTGCAGCCTGCCTTAAAGAAAGCAGCACAGTCCTATCGACTGAGTGTTAGAGCTTTCATCTTGTACCCACTATGAGATCTCATTCCATCTATTGTCCTCTGCTTTCCAGCATAATGTTTGTCTTTCTCTTTGCTCTTCCATGTTTGGTTTTTTTGTTTTGTTTTGTTTTGTTTTTCCCAATCTGAAAAGTTTGTTCCTGTTGCCTTTTTTTGGCTCTTGATTCAAACAAAGAGATAACTTTGTTGACACAAGAGGCAATTTCACACCTTTGTAGGCTCTCTACATACTCAGATCCTTATGTCTAGCTGTGAATCTGGAACTCTTGTCTCAAAGATAAGTACTGGTCTGATGTTGACAGGGGACCAACCCACCGAACTCATCTTTGCCCGTGCAAGTCTCTGTCCCTCAGGATCCCATATCCTGTTTTTAAGGTGTCCCTGAACTGTTGTGTCAAAAAGAAAGACAGACATGCATGCACGCATGCATTCATGCACGCATGCACACACACCCCTCCAAGAGGGAAAACGCTTAGGGTGAGAGATCAAGGCTAGCAGAGAAGGGTATCTGAGATCCTTCTAGCTTCTGAGAACATGCCCATCTAACCCTTCTGTTTCCTTTTCTCATGAGGATTGTGGACCACGCTTGGGCGATGAGTAGCTCCCCCAAGGCAGATGAAATGGGATCAATACAAAGAACTTTGGCTGGAAGGATGGAAGGTTTCAGGTTGGGGAGCCCTGTAGCTCAACCCTGTATCTGCACAAACCCACCCTGCTGGGATGGAGAGGGAACTGGCCATGCTCAGTGGCTTGATTTTGTTTAATCCTTTCTTCCTTGCAGCCCTCCCCCAACCCTCTGTGTGTGAGAGAGGTGTATGTGTGATTGAACGTATGTGAGGGTGAGTGTATGTCTTGGTGCTTATGCATATATGCGTGTACGGAGGCCAGAGGTCAACCCTGACATTCAGTTGCTCTCTACCTTACTTTTTGAGATGGAGGCTTTCATCTCATCTAGTTCACTGATTGGCTACACTAGCTGGTAATCAAGTACTGAGGATCTGCCTGTCTCTGTCTCCCAAATGCTAGGGTCATAGGTACACAACATGGTGTCCAGATTTTCCATGGGTAGTCTGGGAAGTCTGAGCTTATGTCCTCACACGTGTGCAGAAGGCACTAGACTCACAGAGTCATCTATCTGCTGTCTTCCATCTGCAGCCTCTTTGTTCTTTGGGGTGTTCTAGATGCACTGTCTGCCAAGCTTGCAGGCAGCACCCGCTGTGATCAGAGGGAAGCATTACACCTGAGCTTACACTTGGGCGGGACCTGGGCCGCTCAGTCTTTAGGAGATTGTTTTCTAAGTAAGCTGATGTAGGCTTCTTTCTAGGATTGCTATGGTGCTGTGGCAATGTGCCTCCCATCTTTCTCCCATTACATCCCCTTTTGGTCCCCACTGTGAGGATGCCAGTGACTGCTTGAGATGCAGGTCGGCACCTGGGATCACGATTCAGGGATGGGTGGCCTTTGATTAGTAGAGAGTCAGTGCATTAGAGATACAGCCACTACCCTTCAGCTTCAACCCCATCCAGTCCTCCTGAGAAACCTGCTCTGCTTTCTAATTTCAGTGTCTGTTAATGAACGAGTTTGAAAATTATCCAATAATGGCAAAGAGAAAGTTTAGAAAATAGAGGAAAGAAACATCAGATATCTTGAATTGTGTCCTAATAAAAGCAGTGGTCATTATTCTGGTTCACTCCTCCCCGCTCTTTTTCTTTTTTTAATGTGCTTTTCAGTGAGCATGGCCCTGAGCATGGCCCTGAGCATACGTATTTCCAGTGAGATTCATGTGTTTCTCCATCCGATGTGACAGGTGGCATCTCAGGCAGCCAGTGGGTAGAGCTGGCCTGTGGGCAGGATAGAGCGCTCTCAGGGTACCTTATATGAGTCTGGAAACCTCCCAGCTGTGCTGTCCTGATGGATGCCGTGAGACCTCTCATGCAATCAGCTCCTGGAGCATAATCGCACATCTCTGCAGTCTGCAAAGAGAAGCGACTGGAGGTTAAATCTTCAAGACAAAGCACTTTCGCCCAGCTTGTTTCCTCAACAAGAACCGCCTCACACGTCCGCAAGGGTGCACTCCTTCCCTCAGCGTGCCTCCTCCCGCCATCGCATCCGTCCTTGCAGTGACGTGCCCACCATCGCTTTTATCATCCCTAGATAAGGCAGCAGACATCCAAAGAGACTTTCCCGAAGTCCTACAACTTACCTTCGTGTCTCTCCTACCTGCTCTGAAGCAGCGTCCGTCTCCTCTGGGCACTTTTAGCCTCTTCTTTTGACATTCAGCTGCATTATTTTTCATCTGTACTTGACTTTCCTGGATGCTTTTCTTAAACTCCCTCCTCTTGCTTCCTCCAGGGGGGCGTGATAAGCGAGGCGGACCCATCCTGACCTTCCCTGCCCGAAGCAATCATGACAGAATAAGACAGGAAGACCTGCGGAAACTCGTGACGTATTTGGCCAGCGTGCCAAGGTAAGGGGAAGGGGAAGTGTCCGAGGGGAGGGGGAGCTGAGCTGATGCCAGTGAGCCGAGACAGCCGCTGTGCCTGCCAGGGGCCCTTGGATTGGATTCTGATTGTTCCTGGAATATCATCAGTCATTGTTCACTACATTCCCATTATTCCCATTGTTCCTGCTGGGATTCAACTGGAAGTGGTCAGTGCAGGCAGAGGTGAGACTCCGAGGCTGCAAGGACTGGTGTGGAGCCTGCAACAGCAGACAGCTTGGCCTTGTATGGAAGAAGGGGAAGCTGTTGTTTACTTTCATGAGAACCTCTGTTTATCCCACTCTGGCTTATGTACTGATTACTTTCAGTCTCAGAATCGATGTATGGCCCTTGGATTTGGGGGCAAATGACTCGTCTTGCGTCACTCATCTAGAAGCAGCACATTGCTCAATGTTGGTTCTCCTTTTTCAAGCCGGGTGATATTGCTTACGATTGGTTATTGGTGAGAGCACATGAATCTCACTTTGTATATGTTAATCACACACACACTGTGGATAAATGTAATACATGTTTGTTATTAAGTTTCACTGATGGAGAGATGGGGGGGCTGTAAATGGCTCCTCCAGGACAGAGGGTGATAATGAAAGAATGTTTGGGAAACACTCTCCATGCCACCCCAGAGGTAGCTGGTAGAAGACATGCCACAGACATGGTTTATGTCCTTGAGAAGGGAGGGAAAGGCCTTTTGACTAGTTAGAATGTAAGAGGCAGAAGAAAGAACTCTTAAGAAAATCCTAGGCAAATGTGTGTGGCATTTTAAATATAGACTTAGGGATCTGGCTGACAGTGAATGTGAGTTGGCTCTCTCTGGAGGATGCTGCGAGCTTGCCTGGGACACACCCGTCCTGACTGCAGCACTGGTACTCATTCTTTGTCCTTGCCCTTGGCCTGCAGGGATGGTGTTTTCTGTCTCTGAGCAGAGTGGGTGCCTGTGTAGTGGGAGATAAGATGTGGTGCCTTGGGTTTTCAGAACTTTCATTTTATGGGATAATTAGTAAATTAGGCAGATGAGCTATAAATTCTCCTCTACCTCTGCAAGGAGACCTGGGATGTTTTATGAATATGCTGATTAAGTTCTTGAAGCAGGTGTCAAGTGAGGCAAGCCTTGCGGTGGGTTGCAGAGGGCTCCAAGGGAGGAAGTGTGAAGGGACTGGGGGATGTTGATGGGCAGGTGGTAAAAGGAGTTTTCTTTGGAGCAGCATCACGTGCTAAAACACATGTTGAATGGGAGGGTGAACCCTGGAGAGCTCCAAGCAGAAGGCTGTAAACAAACAGATGTGGAAAGGGATCTTTTTCTTTTTTTCTTGATGCTATCCACTGGGATCATAAGCACCAGTGAAGGAACTTTGGGTTATGCCCGGAGAAGTTTTAAAGTATGAGTGCATGAGAATGAACTGGAGAATAAAAGAGCCTGGAGGACTGTATAGAGAAGTAATAGTCCCATCTGACTCAGAGCAAGGAAGTGGTTGAAATAGCCCATGATTGTGCTGTATGGCTTGGTAATTTAGCCTTGTTGGGGCTAAGCAGTTTTTAAAAAGTGCTGTTTCCAAGTATACGAGTAGGTGTGAAATAAGGCACTCTCTGAAGCAATTTACTGGTTTTGTGTGTGTGTGTTGGGGAACTTATTTCTTTTAGAACCAGAAGAAATTAGAATCCCAGGAGACGTGAAGGATGCATTTTTCTTCCTTCAGTGTACATGGCATACCTGCAGCCCAGACAGGCTCATTCTTTCTTTAGAATAAAAGCCCAAGAGTTGGAAGAACCCGCTTTCCTTCATTCTGACTTGTTAAGCAAAGACTGGGACAAAATGGATTGGAAGCAATTAAGAAAGGAAAAGATTTCTGTTGGGGAGGGAAAAAAAAAAAAAGAAGCCCAAGATGGGCTGAGAGGGAGGTCGTGAGAACAAAGGAGAGATGGTAGCACTTGGTGTGAGGGGCACATTACATGCTGGCTGCTCTCTGCTCTTCAGCATGGCAGCTTGTGTCCTCCCCCCACGGGGGAAGGGGGTCACACAGGCTCTTCACAGCTCCCAGTGGGTGGGAGGCAGGAAGGCTGCGGTTACCTTCAGTAGCAAGAATTCTCTGTGACCCCTTGGCCTCCTTCCACTGTGACCTGTATTCGCTGGGACTGTGAGCACCAGCTGCAGTCCGCCAAGCAGTTGTGCTCACCAATCATGCCCTGATTGTGTTGGATGGGCGCTCACACATCATCACTCATGAGAACAGAGTCTGCAACAGCATTGTTCTGAAGACAGTGACGGGTGGTAGGAAAACTGAGAACTGTGGTGGGCTACTCCTCTGCCTGCCCTGGCGTTGGGAGGGAAATGAAGCTAGATTAGATGGGTGGCTCTGATGAAAAGAAATCACTGATCCTCGGCCATGGGCCAGGATGCTGAAAGAAGAGGCCTCAGTTTGGAGATCCAGCGTTTCTTACAGGCTGGCGTGCCCAACGCTGTAGGCGACATCTGATATTCATTTATTGGTGCCCTTATTTAGTATTTAACAAACACTTCCTGCCTCTAGATGCCAGGCAGATTGAGGATTCGTGGTGAGCAAGAAGGTATAAAGTGAGGAAAGTAGGAGGAGCCTGTCTATTTCTCTACATAATCCAAACTGATAGCGGGGAAGGACGGGGGGAGATGTTGAGTGCGCTGGCGGCAGGTAAACCAGGAAGGGCAGCGGAGGGACCAGCCTGTTTAGAAAACAGCCCTGACAATTAGGAATGTCAGCAGTGCTTTGTGCTGTGCAGGGCAGTGGTGTCCACCCTGCAGCGCCACGCTTGTCAGTGTCACCCACCAGGCAGAGTGCTGTCACGGTGGCAGCACTGCAGCACACACCAGTGGGAGAAGAGAGAAACAGTTCCCCACTTGAGAGGCCGGGGCGCTGCCCTGGAGAGGCAGGATCCAGGTAACTTACTGTCTCTCTGTTGCATCCCCGGTACAAGGTAGAGGCCAGGACTCAGGAGAAGAACCTGCCAGCCTGGGAGCTGTCCAGCAGCAGCACTGTGTCTCTAGCCAGGTCACTGGACGCTGGACAGGTCTCCTCTAGGAATGCCGCGTAGCAAGCATTACTCCATTGAATCAGACATGGGGTTGTGTTTCTAAGTCGATTTCCAGTCCTCGGTTCTAGGTTACTTTGATATTGGAGAGTATATACTCCATAAAATCTAGGATCTCAAGCCAGCAGACACACCCTTCTCTGGCTCTCAAAGTAATTCATTGCCTGGTGTCTTGTCTAGACCTTCAATCCCAAGAGAACTGCTTTCTGGTCTCCTAAGACCCTTGGCAAGACTTTTGTAGCATTGCCTGGTATCAGAGATCATGCAAGAGTGTAATAGGTCCCATCAGTTCTGTGTTGCTCTTTCAGGATCCTTCTTAACTTGAGTTGGGGCCTTTTCTCATCTTGTGTCTGACATCCACACCCTGAGTCTCTCCTAGGTACCTTGTTCTGAGAAGTCACAGGCCGTGAATAGACTTGAAAGCCTTTCCTTGCACTCATTTGTTGTGTGTCTCCTATGAGCCAGGCTTTGGAATTATCAGATGCTTTTGTGGTATCTTTCTCACTGTCACCCCTCATACGCTTATCTAACCTTTATTGTCCCTCTGGTCTGCTCTCTGCTTGCAGTGACTTGTATGTAAGAGGCAAGCAAAGGAAAAACTCAGGATCAGCTGATGAGCGTCCCTCAAAATTGAGAGATAGGGCTGAAAATGTACACTGGGAGTAAGCAGATGTCCAGGCATTGTCCACAGTCCACTGTGTAGACTATTGAGAGCTGACCATATGCTTGAGGTAGTGAGTGGTGGTTGTTTCTGTCATAGCAACTCGCCCCTTTACATCATCACTGTTATCCTGCTTTGTCACCATCATCTCTTTGCTGTTCCTAAGGTACCAAAGGCTGAACCTTCTATTGACTCTGCTATTAGCAATTCTGCCAAGATGCTGAGTGTTCTGTCAGGGAATGCAGATGTCATATCAGCGAGGAGAGATGACAAGGAATTAGGATGGGTTATTCTTCAATGCCAGTCAAACCACGGTGCCTTTATTTGCAGCTTAGTTTGATAATATTTGCACCTCTTCTATTGATTCCAGCAAAAGATAAATTGGGCTTAAAGCCAGAACTGTCTTTGTGCTGCATCATAAAAAAAATATGAATAAACAAGAATAAGCAGAAAGAACCAGAAAGACAGCTAGATGGAGGGGGAGGATTTCCTCCAACTGTTTTTAGCACGAGAAATCTGGAGCTATCCAAAGTGTCACCACCACAAGCACATCATGATTAGGACCTGTCAGGGAGTGCTGTTGGTGCCCTGTCCTTTGTTCTGGGACCATCAATTCAAGGAAGGTACAGGGAGAAATCAAAGTGATGGAAGGGCCAGGAAACAGGACAAGTAACAACAGCAGGTCACTGTTTATGTTTATATTTGCCTAAAGATTACATTTTAAAAGACATTTTGAATTTATTTTATTGCCTGTGTAGATGGTGTATCATTTCTGTTGCAGCTTTCATACTTTATACACATTTCTCAGCAATATCAGTTAAGCGTCCTTTTGTTGGCTCTTGGTAACATCAGTCACGAAGAGGAAATAGTTTTCTATTACGTGGCTAAGGCACACAAAGCCATAGCAGTAACTGCCATTGTTAGTTATCACCTTCCTTAAAGTCACATCAACCTTTGCAGAAGAGGGTAGCGAGGTTTCGGATATACAGCTTCAGGTCTCATCTTGCTGTCAAGAAACATGTGGCCTCAGCCCGTGTAGTTTAAGACTTTCAGGGGCAGCTGAGGAGGAGGTTTGGGGGAACCACCAAGATTTGAAACAGTGTCTGAGGCAAGATGAGTCTCTCTAGGCATGAAGAGGCAGGGCTTGGGAGGATCAGAGAGGCTCCAGAGATGAGCTGTGGGTGTGGGGAAGAGATGCTACCTGTGGATGGTCACTCCCTGGTGGGAAGGGCACAGGGACCGGATATCA